AAGTGTGAGCTTTCTTTTGGTTTTCTAACCAGATTTCTTTGCGATTTTCATTGTAATACTTTACCCTGTCTTCTCAGGCTGCTCTTGAAAAGGTCCTGTTCAGCTCTTTTACCTCATTGTATCTCTACATTTAAGAGCAAGTTTAAGAGTCTCTTCTGCTACCTCTTTTCTTTCCTTTTTAATGAATTTTCACTTTTTCCGTAGAATGATGTTCTTGATATCTTTGGTCTCATCTGGTCTGTGGTCATTAGTGTTCAATACATCCACTCGGTTTTGAGATGGTCCCTAAATTCAAGTATGATAGACTGAAGGCTGGAATTGGGCTCTGGTGGACATGTTTTCATTTTCTTCAGCTTTATCCTGAACTTGGAACCCTGGGGGTTACGCCTAATGGCATAGTGGTTACGCGATCCACTTGGTTGGCAGTCCGAAACCACCTGCAGCTCTGCTGGAGAAAGACCAGGCTCTGTACCCCTGCAAACAGCTATACTCTTGAAAACCCACAGGGAGCCCCGATGAGTCACTATTGACTCGATAACAGTGGTTTATCCCGAACTTACATATGCGTGATCGGCAGTTGGTCCCTGGGCTGGCTTTCGCTGCTGATATTGAGCATCTCGATCTTATCTTCCCACAGATGTAGATAATTTGATTTCTGTGCATTCCATCTGGAGCACTCCATGTGTATAGTCTCCTTAGGTGTTGTTAGACAAAATTATTTGTGATAAAGAAGAGATTCAGCTTGTAAAATTCTGTCATGCAATGTCAAGCTGAATTCCTATCACCAAGGCCATATTTCTCAACTTCTATTTCTTCCTCTTTGTTTCCAACTTTTGCATTCCAACCACCAATAATTATCAATGTATCTTGATTGCATATTTGATCAATTTCAGACTGCAGAAGTTTATAAAAATCTTGAATTTCTTCATCACTAGCTTTAGTGGTTGGTTCATAAATTTGTGTAATACTCATATTAATTGGTTTTCCTGGTAGGTAGGTGGATATTTTTCTATCACTACTGGTGTAGTAGTTATGAGTTGGGCTGCAAACCACAAGCAGTTTAAAACCACCAGCCACTCCTCACGAGAAAGACTGGGCTTACAAACCTTGTTAAGACTTACAATCTTGGGAGGTCACAGGGGCAAGTCGGCATTGACTTCACGGCAATGAATTTGAGATAGCATCATACTTCGGGATCGATCTTGAAATGTTCTTTTTCATAAGGAATAGATTTGTCCTTCCCAGCATAGTAGACCATATCAGTGTCTAATTCAGAATGGCTACTACCAGTCCCATTTCAGATCACTGATATCTAGGCTATTGATCCTTATGCATTTCATTTAGTTTTTGACAGCTTCCAATTTTCCTAGATGTTTTCAGCAGTTTCTTTTCATTTTGAGTTGTGCTACATCAGAAAATGAAGATCCTAAACATTCCGCTCCTTCTTCATCATTAAGGTTGACTCTACTTTGAGAAGGCAGCTCTGTCTTCGTCATATCCGAATACCTTCCAACCTGAGGGGCTTATCTTCGGAACTGTATTAGACAATGTTCCACTGCTATCCATAACGTTTTCAGTGGTTACATTTTCACAAATGGACCATCTCTTCCTTTTTCCTAGTCTGTAAGCTCTGCTGAAACTTGTTCACTATGTATGACTCTTGGTATTTGAAATGCTAGTGACAAAGCCAACATCATAGCAAAAAACAAACCACAGATGAGTGGTGATGATCTGATAAAGACCAACCAAAACATCAAATGGAGTGAAGAGGTAGAAAGTTACTGATGACAATGATTTATTTTCTAGCTTCCTTGACTCTTGAATGGTTTCTGAAAAACTGTTCGGTCCACATGGCCAGCCCCACTATGAGACGTGATGCCCCTCACTGGCCCATGGCCCTGCGGGGGACAACACCAGTGACACAGTGTGGGAATTGCGCCTGATCTGACCCCGCCACGC